GGACCATGTAAACCTCCCCGTGATCAAAAAAGCCAAAATTCCTCCGATGGCATCAGCCCCTGAGCCACGTGTTGATCAGGTGTGTTTTCCTGTTCCTTTCAGTATTCCTTTCATTATTCTTCCCTGAAGAATACTGAAAGCATGGTTCTCCTTTTCCTTGCCCACCACCTTTAAACAACTTGGATTCTTTCTTTTTGTTTGAGTGTAAAGGAGTAATTTTCTACTAGATTAGTGAATTGAATTAGTTTGCTAAGTGGTTGGATGACTGTCTTTCATTATTCTTCCCTGAAGAATACTGAAAGCATGGTTCTCCTTTTCCTTGCCCACCACCTTTAAACAACTTGGATTCTTTCTTTTTGTTTGAGTGTAAAGGAGTAATTTTCTACTAGATTAGTGAATTGAATTAGTTTGCTAAGTGGTTGGATGACTGTCGAAGCAGAAATATGAGAGGAGCACATAGAGAGTGGAAAAGGTGGAGGCAGAGTAGAACTTTCCTCTTTTGGCTGCAGCCAGCTGTTAGATCAGCTCTTTCAGTTTAGTAGCATCCTTGGGAGCATCCAGTTATTGTGACTACAGCATATTTTTAAAACAATGAGGAAAAACCAAGAGAGTCCCACTTGGCATATCTGAGGTTTCTGGATGCTTTCTCAGTGTTCAAGCTCCTTTTTCTGATCCTCATCCTCTTGTCTTTCCTAAAGTTCTGGCAATTTTCAATCAATCTTAAATCTTTCTTTTGAGATCATCTTATATAGCGGATATGTTTTCAATTGCTGGGGTTTAGGTTGTTTTTGTCCCTCCTTCCTGTCCCCGAAGTTTGCTACTACCATTTAATACCTTTTGAAGGACACAGCAGAAAACAGTGATCAGTTTGAGAAATGAGGTCCAACATTTAAGTCTTCCTAAATGTATAAGTGCTAGAAAAGAGCTATTTGTAGTTATGGAAGTCTGAGAACAGAGAAGCTATCTATTGACTCAGAAGCTTTTACTCAGCACAGCTGACCATAAAGCAATAAAAAATTGTCTAAAACTCACCTTTCTACCTTTGCCAGTTTCTTTGAAGCCAGCTGGACTTTTGAAATCTTTTAACAACTCCCTATGCTTTTGCCTGTACTAATCTTAATTGCCAGGTGGTGTAGCAGTGACAAGAGCTAATGGTGTTTTTGAGGGGCTGCTCATTTGGCCCTTTTAAGGCATAGTTCAGATAGAAGAGGGGCTAAGTGTGTGCGTTGCTATTTACTTTTCATAAAAATAAAATTATTATGCAAAACTCTGAATTGGCTTTTTAACAAAGAAATTGAAGCCCCTTCGTCAGTGGAAATTTTAATATAGCATTTAAGAGTTGAGGAGCTAAGCCTGCTTCTGAATTAATACTTCTCTGCAGTATTAGTAGCATTACTTTTTCTTCTTTTTTACTTTTGTGTAGAGGAGAAGAAGCCTAAAGTCAAGAAACCAAAATCAGAATTCCCTGTATACACGGTTCTGGAGTCAAGTGCATATATACCATCATATGATCATGGAGCTTCAATTGAAGAGATTGAGGAACAGATGGATGATTGGTTGGGAGGCAGGAACAGAACACAAAAAAAGAAGGTAAGTTCAAAACCTTTCATGTTGTTATATATTTTAAATGTTGATTCATTTGCTTGCCTCTTAAGAAAATGGAATTATGTATGTGTGCCACCACAATATTCATATACTGTTGAAGTCTAGAGAAGTATTAATTGTCAGGCAGACACATAATGGAAAAGATTATATCGATGTTTGATGTAATTTGTGTAATGATACTGGAAATGTTATAATAGGATGTCATTGATTAAAATATCTGAAAGATCTCTATGGTTTCTAAGATAAATACTATTCTTGTTCACTAGAAATTAGTAGAACATAATGCTGTGAAGTTATATGAGGCTTGGTTCTTTCTCTGAAATGCAATTAATAACATTTTGCTTGCAAGAATATTTTCCTCTCTATTTAAAAAGAAAAAAAAAGAGAGAGAAAGAAGAAACCTTCACTTCTTAATAACCAGGTGTAGTATCTTTTGATTATGGAACTGCTTATGTACTTCACGCATTTCATCTTGACTTAAGGAAAAGTCCTAACAATTTAACTTAGGTCTATTGTTAAGGTTCTTGCTACTTAGAGATAAGGGTTCTTAGTGACAGTTAGTGTACTTATCTTCTGGTAAATTTTATTAAAAATGTGTAGTTTTCATCTTAGAACTGAGATACACAGATGACAGAAGAAATGTTATAAATTGGTCTCCTGACTTGAAAGTCTGCCTTGCCTGGAAGACTGAGATGAGAAGAATGGTGTGTTTGGAGTGAAGTTAGGGCAACACAAGTCAGCATCAAAATAGTGAAAGGTGTTCCTGCTGTCATTTGTTTGATTCCTCTGTGATACAGATTTGCTTACTCCTTCATTGTGTTCAAGCCTGTGAAAATACTCCCTCCCATTTTTAGCCAGACCTAAAATTGTTACTAAAAGAATTTGAAATTTGTATAACCTGTTTAATCATAGAATCATGGAATCATAGAATCATTAAGGTTGGAAAAGACCTCTAAGATCGAGTCCAACCGTCAATCCATGTCAACCCACCACAATCATCTACCACTATTGAATCCCTAAGCTTCATGACTTTCCAGTGGCCAATTTTCTCTTGCTGTTACTTTTATCTTTCTGTATTATTTAGTACATCTGCATTATGTTTACTTTTATATTTGTTACAAATCCGTTCTGCAAATATGCTTAGCTTTTGACTTCTGTGTAAGGGATTGACACTGAATCCTTAAAACACGAGCTCATTTTCACGCACTTAGAGAAAGTAAGAACTCAGGTCCTTAATTCTATAGGTGAGTTGCCTGGGAGTTAAAAGCATATGTACAGTCATTGCTTTGTTTACCTTAACTCAAGAAGCACCCATGGATTGGATTCCTGTTAGTTGCATCTCTGTGAACCAGCTTTGCTTACCAGGCTGTGTGGGCAAATGATTAAAGGAGAAAAGATTTATGTTGGTTGCATGCTTGACTATCTGGATCCCCAAATTCACCTTCCCCTCTGATGAAAATTGAGTCTTTCTTTGGATTTCCGTGAAAATGAAGGAATTGAATAGACTGGGCCTATTCCATCTATAATTTTGCACCTCCTACACAGAGTATATGGAAGTTGTGTCTTCAGAGTCACCGCTAAGAGAACAAGTTGTAGGTACATCCTTTCAGAAACAGGAGTCACAGAAATTAAAACATACCAAAGAACTGTTATTAAAAGGTAAGTAACTTGTTTTTCTACACTTACACCTAGGGGTTCAGTATTGCATCTCATCACTTTGATTAATGAGTTTATTTTTTTAATTATATTCTGTTACAAATGGGGTTAACATTTTAGGGACAAGCAGGCAATTTGCAGGTATACTGTCTGGGTAAAGTGTTTGACCTGAACAAACTGTGATGAGGTGTGCTTCCTTTCCTTGACAGCTAATATGTTACCGCAGTGCAACGTCGACATTTAATACAGTAGTGGAGAGAAACAGATTCATAAACTGTACAAAGACATGGAGGGTATATGTTACTGGCTCTAGTAGCTTGTAGGAGCCATTTGTATGGCAATATGAGAATGTCTGTGTCATTATTTGTAATAAGCTCACTGGGAAAAATCGTTGTACCACAAGTGAATTGTTCCTAACTGTCATTTGACACATTTTCCATTTTAGAAAGATGTCTAATGGTAGAATTCTCGATTCTTGGTGAAGTCCATTTTAGAAGATGTCTAATGGTAGAATTCTCGATTCTTGGTGAAGTAAGGAGGAGGGGGCAGCAAAACCGCAGCCATGGACTTCTGGAGGGCGGACTTTGGCCTGTTCAGGACGCTGGTTGGGAGAGTCCCTTGGGAGACAGTCCTGAAGGGCAAAGGGGTCCCGGAAGGCTGGACGTTCTTCAAGAAGGAAGTCTTAAAGGCGCAGGAGCAGGCTGTCCCCATGTGCCGTAAGAAGAACGGGCGGGGAAGACGACCAGCCTGGCTGAACGGGGAGCTCTTGCTGGGACTCAGGAAAAAAAGGAGAGTTTACCGCTTGTGGAAGAAGGG